TGAAAGTGTCTTTCTGGAGAAAGCAGAATGCAGCATGCATGCCATTGACTCATTGACGCCACCACCACTCTGTCTAGTTCAAAGTGTAATAGATTTGACCCCAAGTTAAAATGATACAGATGTTGTGTGTTACTTGGGCTGATTGCTGCAAGTAGTTTCTAGCAAATTATAAATAGTTTCCAGCCAATGTATAAATAGTTTCAACATCCCCCCCCCCCAAGAACACAGATGGCCAAATAAACAGGCCACCGCAGGTCTTAAGTCATTTTGCCAAATGTGCCACGACCACCATTTGGGTGGTCATACGCACGTCTAGGCTTCAAGAGACGATCTCGAAACTGGTTCGAAAGCTGGTTGGCTCACAGTCGAGGCTACATGGCCCGAGCAGCTCGTTCGTGACTAGCACATTGGTCTGTCTAAAAGGAGCGTTTGGTTTGAGGGGGGGGCCTGGGCAAGAAGGGAGCGAATCCTCTGCTTGTTCATGCTTTTGTTCAGTCACCATCTGTTCAGTTTAGGGCTCGTGAAGAGTCTGCTTCGTGAAGGAGCTTGTTCCCTGAACTGTTACGGTGTGTGTTCACTGCCCTCTTTGGACCGATCATGTCCGGGGGTTACGTCCCCATGCTGGTAACCTCTCGGATGAGAACAGCTCGCAGTGCTTTTTCATGTCCAGGAGGTTCTTGTTTATGATCGAACAAATACGCCTCTCGCGTATGTTGCAAACTAGAGAGTGATGATGTTAATCTCCTTGCGGTCCCCTGACATCTCTTTGGACCAGGCTCTGGACACTTTACTTAAATCATTGTAGTTGCAAAAAAGGTATCGGAACGAGGGTGAACGAGGTCAGAACCCATGCCAGCAAGGAATGGCAGCCTTAGCGACCTACCACAGACGGCTGCGGACGGTTGCGAACGGTTGCGGATGGCTGCGAAAGCTACGGCGACGAGTCGCGAACAAGGCTCTATACCCCCAGAGTTAAGCGAGAACCCCTCGCTACGCATCCGGGAAAAAACGAAAGACCGAAAAAATAAAGAAAACGTACAGTATAAATTATCCCGGCAAGAGACCCCAAACAGTGTGTGTGATGTCAAAAAGCAGAAAGTCTAGAGATCTAGACGCAGGTGATCAAGTTGGGGGATCGTGGTGACGGTGGCGGTGGTGGTGAGTGAGTGTGAGTGTGAGTGAGAGTGACAGTGAGTGTGGGTGAGACTCACTCTCACTCTCTCTCACTCTCTCTCACTCACTCACACTCACTCCCACTCTCACACACACTCACGCTCACTCACTCTCCCACTCTCACTCTCACTCACTCTCCCACTCTCACTCACGCTCACTCTCACCCACTCACTCACCGACCTTCACTCTCACTCACACTCACTCTCACTGTCACTCACACTCCCACCCTCACACTCACTCTCACCCACACTCACTCTCACTCACACTCACTCTCACTCTCACTCACACTGGCGCTCACACTCGCTCACTCTCCCACTCTCACTCTCACTCTCACTCACTCTCCCACTCTCACTCACACTCACTCTCACCCACACCCACTCTCACTCACACTCATTCTCACTCTCACTTATACTGGCGCTCACACTCCACTCTCCCACTCTCACTCACGCTCTCTCACTCTCCCACTCTCGCTCACACTCCCTCACACTCTCGCTCTCACCCACACTTACAGTTTGGTGTGCCGCGCGGGCGTGCGCGGCGAATTCGCTGCTATTTGCAGTACATTCATGCCTTTCGAACTCCTCCAAGTGCATTTCGACTGCGCAGGCTCGCTGAATCTGGGGGCCGGCGGCAGGTGCTTCTAGCGACTGCGCTCTCGTTGTGCATTTTTGCACATGCTGGTCACTTTTCATGGCAGGCGCAAGGGAAACCTTGTGTCTTGGCGCTTGAAAGTCGACTTTTCGTGACAGGTGCAAGGGATCGGAGCTGTTTTACTTCGAACTGCAGTTTTCGTGGCTTTGGACATGGTGGTGATCGTCGAGGGGCTCAGATTTCGTGACAGGTGCAGTGAATCGTGACATTTGGGCATGTGGCTCGTTTGCAGCTTTCGTGGCAGGCACAGCACTCTGCATGTGAGAACCTCGATGCGCAGATTTCGTGGCACGCGCAGCACTTTGTCGAAGTGCAGATTGCGTGGCAGGCACCGCGCTTGGTGAACCTCGAAGTGCGTGCAGATGACAGCGTACAGCGACAGCTCGGCAGCAAGAGGCATAATGCAGCGAGCCGGACAAGGAAAGCTGAAACACACCCACATCCGCAATTTGTGGATCCAAGATTTGGTTCGAGAGAAAACTATTCGCCTATGCAGGGTTCCAACAGCAATCAACCCGTCAGATCTGAACACGAAGAAACTTTCACAAGAACGAAGGAAGAAGCTAATGGCTTTGACTCCCATAGGATTTCAGACTGGCATGGAGATAGAGAACATTGAGACAGAGAAAACATTGGACAGCAGATCACTTCAGAAGATTTTGAGAGTCCTATTAGCAGGTAGCAGTTGTTTTCTGCAAGGATGTGAGCACACTTTCCTGACAGGTGGAGAGATTGAATGGATGGACTACCTCACGGTCAAGAACATGGTGATGACAGCATTGAATTGCTGATTGCCTACCTGATGTACGCGATCAGACGACCAGGAGATCCCAACAGTTCTTCATCCTCGACATCAACTTCGCAAGAGAGCGGACCTTTTACATCAGGCATCACTCCAGACAGACCAAGAAGACAGAGACCAAGAATGACACCTGGAGATGCAATGAGGTTAGGATGGCGACCTCCCCTTCACATAGGAGCATTAGCAGAACTTGGTGAAGAGTGTATGGCAAGACATCAATCCATCGAGATTCCAAAGAGGATTGATGAACATATTTCCCCTTCCTTTCAGACGAGCAGGTAGCAGTGGGAGAAACCACATCGATGGAGCACCAGGAGAACCTGATCAAGACCTACCAGAACAACATGAACAAGTTCCAGAAGAAGATGAACCTTTTGGAGAAGAACCAAGTCCAGATCAAACTTTAAGTCAACCTGGACAAGAACGATTTGATGTTTTCACACAAGCTGGACAAAGTGGTGATCAAGAAGAAGCAGCACATGGACCACGACGGAGACTACAACAAGAAGCTTCGCATGGAGCTATGAGACCAGAAGAACCAGAACCAGAACCAGAAGGAGAAGATGATGAACTTCATCCTGGACACCATGGAGACGAACATCTACCTGGACAAGTTCGACGAGTACAACAACATACAACATGGTCATGGAGAAGATGGACACCAATGGATGACCTTTGATGGTCATGGATGTTCAAGTCATGGCGAAGAAGATCAAGAGAGCAATGAGACCACTGAGGCAGAGCACCTCGAGATTTCAAGTGACAGTTCACGAATTGTAATTGATTTTGAGACAAATTCAGAAGGAGAACGACAAGCAGAAGCTCAGAACAGAGCACAAGACACAGATAATCAATACTGGATGACACTTGAAGAGACAGGCCGACGCATTGGCGAGATGATAGCTGACGACAGCAATCACTACAACGAGGACGAGCTCTATGACATGATCCCAGATGACCAGGAAACCTTTGACTGGTATCGACAGCAGATGCTGATGAGAGGAGAAGGAGTTGAAACTCATCTAGTTCATGCAGGGCATGAATTGGCAAATTTGATCAACCAGATCCTGGACACGGCAATGACACAGAGAGTGGTACTGAATGGAGACATGTTTGGCAGGCTACAGATCCTACACAAGGAGATCCTGGAAGCGATCGACAATTGCACAACTCCAGAAGGATGCAGAAGAAGCTTTTCAGATTCATCAAGAAGCTGCAAAGGCTGGAGAGAGAAGCAATTGAGAAGGCAACGGATGACATGAATGAAGCAGGCAGAAATGAATCCTTGAACACAGTGGAGCGATATCAACGTGGAGAAGAACGAGAAGCTGGAGAAGAACTTCGAGGCATAGAAGAGGCGATGCTCCAGGTACTACCAGAAGAGACACACATCATTCCTGGAGAGCACAGCAGAGCAGGCTTGGCGTTTGCAGCTGGAACAGCTGAGACAGGTGAAAGGAGAACCTATGCAGGCAGCTCTACTGACCGCATCAGAGCTGGACTGCAAGACGGTGAGCCTCCCTACTTGAGGAGGAGAATGACAGTGGAGGAAGTCATCAGTGAAGCCGACGATGACATGGACAAGGAGAATGAGGAGCCCGATGACGCAGAACATGGCGATGGAGGCCATAGTGAGAGATGAACTTTTGGCAGTGGTGATTTCAGTCAAGAACAACTTCTGGTCACCACAGCCGGTTCAGATGGCTTAAGTGCCAAAGAGAAAAGTATGGACGCATTTGAGCATGCATCCATAAGGCTGGGTGTGAGATTTACTTTGTCTAGATCATGCATAGCATGTACAGTTCACAAACCTTCAGCTGAAGTGGCTTTTTCTGCCCAAAGGAAAAGACCGCAGCCGCAGCCATGTTTTGACAGATAGTTGTAAGTTGCAGCGCTTCAGAACATGTTTGATTAGTAGAGAAGGCTGTGAACACAAAGAGTGCCAGACTCACTATCTGTGGTTTGGGCTGTGTTTTGGCGACAGAGAGAGCGTAGGTTTCCACTGTAAGAAGAGACTGGATGACACTGGTATCTCCAGTTTTATTGATACTTGAAGGATCTTGAAGGTTAACGGTTAAATAAGTGAAGAAAGGTTCTGTGGGTTAAGACCAACCGAGCACAAGAAGCTTTAGCAAATAGTTATCTAGACGTGTGTTGCGATCGTAACTGGGAGTGCGTCCCAAAAGACTCCCAACTCCCAACAATTTGGTTCAATTTCTGATTCCAACATGGCATTGTCGGAAGCCATTTGTTAATTAAGTTTTTACGACAAAAGACACGAAAGAGGACACATACACACACTACACTGACTGACATCCACTTCCTTTTGATGTCTCCCGTCTCATGCGATGAGATACTTTCACCAAACGAGCAGGTGCTGGCACCATACCTTCAGCACCCTGTTTTGCAAACAACCTTGCTGGCAGGGTGCTTAATTTCAGCATGAGAGTCTCTCTCCCTCTCTCTCTGTGTTGCATACAGGTTGCGAAATTGATTCCGTATCAGCCCGTATCAGCGGATGTTTTTGAATGTTGTTCGGCAATGCTTTCCACCTCGGTCTATTGAAATTGGCTACTGCATGAGGCAGTTCAAACCGCTTCATGGCTTTGGCTTGCCGACCTATTCCTGTCCAAAAGAGGTAGCTATTTCGAGGCTCGCAAAATCATGCGCCAAGACAACCAACCCATGGCTTTGACACGCGAACTCTCAGTTTCAGCAGTGTCAGCATGAACAACTGCTAAACATGTAAAGGCTGCAACATATTGAACGGCGCATTGTTATACAACAATTGCCCATTGTGATTGAACACAACCTAAAGATCCTAAAGTTCATTTTAGCCTTCGGATTTTTGGATGTAGAAAAAATGTGGTCTTCTCTTGTACATGAAGCTTCGCTTGTTGTTGCCTGAGATCTCCGAGCTCGGTGCTTCCATGCTTCCGGGAGAGCCTTGGCAGCCTAGACCTTTCGAGAACCGACACTTTGAAAGCTCCTGAACCACTTGTTGTAGCGTAGTGGGTATGTTGCAGGTGGGGTTTCACGGCTACTCTCACACAAAAGTGATGTATCTTGGCTATGCATTCTCAAAACATGTTAAACATGTTGTTCAACTTGCGCCGTTTAGCCTTTAAAGATGCTTGGCAATAGTATTTCAAAGCTAAGGTGAAGTGGAACAAAGGGACTTGCAATAGTACCAGTAGATACGACATCGCACCACTGTTTGAGCCGCTTGGTACGGGAACCGTGCCTTGGCAAGGCTGCGAAGCAGCTTCAACGTTTCACTTCCGGGGGACAAAGTTGGCACGAAGGAAGCAAGGATGAATAGGGGAACATGTTTTTGTCCCAGGGATTGCAATTTGCATTTGTGGATTTGACACCGTTGTTGAGCGGGCCCAGACAAGAGCTGGCTTGTCCGCAGGGCAGTGGTGGAAGCTTTGAGACACTGCATATATTTTTTTGCTGGCAGCCACTAGACCGGTTGCATTAGGAATTCAGCCTTACCTTACTTTGCAATTCTTTGTATCCCTTCTGAGCTCAACTGTATCTTCTCTTTCAACAAGGTGGGGTGGTTGATGAGTGTTGAAGCTCAGAAGTGCTTAGACACGGGCTAGGCAACAAGGTTTGCAAACCAGTTGCATAGCTGGGATCCTCCTATGAGATCCTCGCAGTACTCGTAGGCAGTTGGAATTCGGCATTGTGCAGGGCAAAGTGGCCACTCCAGGCTGAGCCACTTGCCGATGTTGGACCTGCAGTGTTGTGGGCAATAGCATCATTGTATGCTTGTCCACAGGCACACATATGGCTTGATATGAATGTTTGTCGTTTGATGTGTTGTACCCTTGTTGTTATGCATGAATTTCAATGCATCTCTTTCTTGGTTGCAAATGTACTTTTGACCAGTCCCCACAAGCAAGGTGATTGCACGACAACCAGTGTTTGACCGTGCCTCCCTTGGCTCAATTTTGGCCGGATTCACTTGAGTTCCATTCATGTCATTTCTGATGCCATGGCTTTATGCTCTCCGTGCCACGAGCTAGAAACTGGAGATGCTCAAGTGATTGAAACCTGACCTCAGAGTCAGAGTTCAATTGCTGTCTCCAAATATAAAGCAGACACATTTATACATTGCTCTTGAATGAACGCCTCAATGTTAAAGTGTGCTGATTCTGCCTTGTCTTTTGAGGATGTGGAGACTCAGGCGGTGATGGAGGAGGGAGCAAAAGCAAGTCAAACAGCTTTGCTCGTGTGATATATCGTGAGCTTGTCCTGGGAGGAGGGATATTCTGTCAAAAAAGGTCAGCAGCCTGAGCCTGAGCACTGCACAAACCCTGAGAAAGATGCTAGAGAAGCCACCAAAGATGCCGCGCAGCATGAGGCCGGATAGAAGAATGCGCTTGCAAAAGTTACGCATGCATGAAGAACGATACCGTAAGTACATTTGCACACATAGATCTGCCTTTGGGCTTTCTTGGATGCAGACACCCGCTGGAGCAGATGGATCAGGCACCTCAGCTGCATATATGCAGAACAGTCATGCTGTAGTTCAAGTGTTCACGTCTCATTCCAGCAGCTCACCTGACGTGGTACTCATCCAGAAGCAGATGTTTTCAACTGCGTTTTTGGATGTACTCCGGGTAAGATTAACGTGTGGCAAAAAAATATGGTGCTATGTTTGGAAGTTTCCTCATCTACTCTAAGTGCAAACCAGATGGCGCAGGCATGATGTCATTTTGGGGGGGGTGCGCCATCTATTCGGCCAGCCAGGAAGTTGAACATATGGCTATAACCCGGCCGTCGCTCGCTGCCCTGGATCCCAAAAAACTGGGCCAAAATATCATAGTAGATGGCGCAGGAGGGACATTGAGGTTTATATAAAGGCGCAAGAACATCCCATGCCCTGGCTGATCATCAGGCTGCGCCATCTACTTTGCACTTTCCTATACCTGCTCTCCCGGCTCTCCCCTCTCCTCCTTTCCCTCCCCACCTCTGACCTCCCTTTGTCGTCCCTTCCCTGCTCGAGGAAAGAACTACATGTGCTATCCTTCCACAAGTCCTTGCCTTTTCTGCTGCCCATGCCCTGGCTGATCATCAGGCTGCGCCATCTACTTTGCACTTGTCAGTCCTGCCCCCCTCACCCTTTTCTTTATACCTGCTCTCCCCTCTCCTGTTTTCCCTTCCCCCTACCTCTGACCTCCACTTTGCGCAACCTACTGTACACAGAGTGGCAGTCCCGCCCTGTCCCCTCTCAATCTTCTCTCTTTTCTCCCTGTCTCCCTTCTTTGCTTTCCACAAGCCCTTCTTTTTCTGCTGCCCATGTCTTGTTCCGTCCCTCCCCTTCTCTCCTCTTCCCTTCTCTTCTTCCTTGATTCTCTCCCCTCTTCTCTCTTCCTTCTCTCGTTTCCCTCCTTTTTTCTTTCTCTTTTCTCTGCTGCTTGAAGTTCCCTGTCTTCTTTTTTGGGTTGCTTCCCCTCCCTCTCTCTCTCCCTCTCTCTCTCTCTTTCTTTGTATCTCTCCCTTCTCTTTGTTCCATATTGTGTCCTCACGCTAGTAGATGGCACCGTTTCTAGAATAAGAGCAAAAAACAGCCAATTTCAACCTAATAGATGGCGCCGCCCTGTCTTTGGACCATACCCCTGCTCCAAGTCTCTTTTTGTTCTTGGAGGTGTATACTCTGTGTATCGCTCCTGATTTTTTGACGTTTTGTTGCGCCATCTGGTTTGCAAATAGTGTACATCCGAGGGTTCCATGATCTCCGGCAAGGGTGGCCACTTGAAATAAACATGGAATCGCAGGACGCGTTTTACTTGGCCTTTCTGTGACTTCCTGCATGTCTATGTTTGCTTGCTTTGCGTCTCTGGTTTTTTCATTAACTTCAATTTACTTGAATCCAGCTATTCCCCAGGGTTGTTGACCTGCGGTTCCAAACGGTTTGTTTTTTGCAGGCCACGGGGTTCGAGAGAGCCAAGATGTTCCCAGTAGTGGCTGTGTCCCTCATCATCCAGCGCTGGCTATGTTTTGGCTGCGTGTCTGCTGCAGTTTGGACGCTGTGGCACAAGAGTCACAAGAGACTGCCATGTTGAAGCGCAAGGTCAGTAAGATTGCACCGCATTCATTGAGCCAGCGGGCCAATGAGATCTCAGAGCATTCGCCAAGCAGCTTGATTGCAACGCATTGCTCGACCAACAACAAGCATGACCAAGTCCGTAGAGTACGATTGGGGAATGAAAAGACTGATTGGTGGAAATAACCACACTCAGACCGTGGCAAAAAATAGTGTGCCTCACGCGGGTGGTGCTATGTTTAACTCACCCCCTGAGAATTTTTCAAGTAGGCGGACCAGAGCTTCTTGACAAATGTTGTATGTTGTTTGATGTATTCATGGCCTGGACTGATGCAACAAAACATATGGACAAATTCGTGCTGAGAGCAAAATGTGCAGCCATTTCTGGCCCTTCTGTGCCGCACCTGAACAGGAAGTGCGCGTGTGTGTGTGTGTCACACCCTGTTTCTAAGGGTTTCTACTCGTTTTCATGCAGCAGGGGCGTCAGGCTCGATACACCTACCTGACGCAACGAAGCTCTGGTGTATCGAGGGATGGGTGGACTGATCATCCACCTGTACCTGCTTCAACGGTTGAGCAAGCTGTTCAGTGATTCATGATACCTCCCTTAAACCTTTTTCCTTCCGCATTGCAGCGGCTGACTGTCACTTTCTTTTGAGCGCCTTCGGAAACAATTTTAAACAATACTGTTGTGCCGACTCACTCGCCTTGCCGTTCCCTCACCTTCCTTCCCAACGTGGCAATTGAGTCTAACTGAAAACCAAGTTCGAAGTGTGGACCGCTCAGTCTTCCCACTTGGGTACTGGGTGTGACCCTCCGAAAGGAGGCGCTGAAACCATTCCGGAAATCATCGACCTTCAATTTTTATAACTGCTTTTCCGTTTCTTCACCTTTATCCCTGAATTAACTGATTTTTCGAGCCGCCGGGCTATAAGCGACGGAATGTCTACCCAAAGTTCCGAAATCCATTCGCGTTGTGCATGGCTGCATCCTCAATTTTCAATTTTTAATTTTCCAACCGCAGCCGTTTAGCCGATGATCAACTTACGCATGCTCAGTACTGCAGATCCCAGAGATTGCATTGCATGCCGAGATTTCACCTTACTCACCTGTACTACACATGCACTCAGGCTCCAGATCTCACTAGGATTCCCAACCTCTCACTTCCGCTGCTGTGCCGCGCCGGCGCCATTTTCTGCAGCCTTTCGGTTTGGCCTCTCCATCGTTCTCCACATGCAGTATCCCTGGCCGTATCCACAATGGCCAACACCAAGTACCGCACCCACCATACCTACTGTCAGCACTCAGCCATCACCATGGCACCATCCTCCACCAACGGCACCTCTCCCTACCGTCCTGTCTCATCAGCAACCACAACCGATCCTGTCTCACTTTCAGGCCACTTCGCAGCAACCGCCAGCTCTTACCTGGCCACATCACTTGCCAACCCATCCTCCACCGGCACCAACCTTCATGGCTCACACACCAGCCTACCCACCACCACCTCAGATGCAGGCCCTTGAGCCCATGCCAGCACCACCTCTACGCCACCCACCTCCTTTGCAGCCCACATCACCAGCACCACCCGCTCCACACGCTCCGCAGGTACCACAACCACTGGCACAGCCGACTCCCATTCATTGGGACCAATCTCAAGGCGTTTGGCAACCTTACTCCCTCTTCCCACCAGTGGTTCACACTTCACCACCCTCACATCAAACATCAGCCTCAACCACCACTGCGCTTTCTGACCCAACACCCTCCACGGTGGCACCTGTGCCACCAGTTCCTGGCGATCTGAGCATCCCATCCTCCGCCAGTGCCCATCCGAGCACCTCCCAACTGGCCACCGATACTACAGCCTCTACACCACCCTCCACATCACCAACCGCCCACCTTGCTCCACCACCAGCCACAACAGCTCCACCACTACTGCCACCACCGCCACCACCCCCACTGCAGACACCTTCAGCACCAACCACGGAGTCCCACAAGCGTTCCCACACACAACCTCCAGCAGCTACACCGACTCACGCGGGCACTGTCCATTCACCGCCGGCCTCTCTTGCAACCACCGGCCGGACCCACCGCAGCAGAGAACGCAG